CCGGCAAGCCAACATCAGAGTCAAGAACAAGACCCAAACTTCCTTATTCCGACACATTATTTAACCATTTCGTTACCACTCCCTTTCGCACCAGTGCAAAAAGCTTTAGGTTCCATTCAGATTCTTGAATCCAGTGAGATTTACTTGGCCACATACGCCACAAGAAGTAACTAAGAGACTTCAGGTAATTCAGTGTGGCTTTAAACCCATCCTTTAGGAATATGATTGTTTATGTAAGCTGCTTTGAAAACAAAAAAACAGTTAAGAACCAACAATAAATACATCAAGCAGCAGCATCTACTGTTTTGCAACCTTTTCATACCATAAAGTCTTGTGTGTGTGAACAGGTATCTTCATCAGCCTCTGGAAAATGGCAAGGAGTTCCAGAGGGGATACAACTTAGAAAAGGATCTGCTCTTGTAGCCACCTAAATTAGAATGCATTTTTTAAATTTAGGAACTAGATCTCTTTTTCTATTACTTCTGGCATCTAGTCCATTCATGATTTTAAAACTGTCAACATGTTGAATTCTGCTCAGAAACTGGAAGCCAGTTCAGTTCTTTGAGTCCTCCTATTATGTTCTCAACCTACCCAGTTCTTAATACCCTGGCCACCACATTCTGTACCAGGTGAATTTTCTGAATGAGTAAATAATAGCCCACAAGGATTGCATTACACTAGCCCAATCTAACACCCCACACCCCAGGATCAACTGCCAAGCCAGACAGAGCTGGTAAAAGGTATTCCTAGCAACAGATGCCACCATAAAGTCAAGAAGGAATGCTTTGTCCAGATCTCCTGACTGCTGATCCACTCCTCAGAGGGATGCTACCTGGTCCGCAACAGGTCAATCACCTATCCCTCACATCAACAGAACCATCCATATCAGCATCTCCAACTCAACTGGTCTGAACTTCAGTTTATTTGCTATCATCCAATGCATCAGGATCACTGGGATTGAAGGAAAAGAAATAAAGCTGGACACCATCAGCATTACAACATGACAAGCAACCTCCCCCTGTGATTTTACATAGTTGTTATACACTGTATAATAAACAGCATAAGATGGATACCCCACAATATCTCTCTTCATATCACCTTCTGGAACAAGTTAACGATTGTAACACAGTGCTGCTGACCCCCAGTCCTGACAAGTGGTCCAGAAGGATATCAAGTCAACAGTATCAAACACTGCTGTCAGATCCAGAAGAATCAAGGTCAAAATCCATTAGCTGGCAAACGTTGTCCACCAAAGTGACCTTGGCAGTCCAAGTCCCTCTATGGGTCCTGAAGCTAGACAAATTCTAGCAAGCTTGATGATCAACTGTGAACATCCTGCAAACTTCTGGCGTGTTTGAAGCCACCACCCAGGAATAAGCTTGCTAAATAATAATCTATGAGGAAGAAGTCACCAAACCCAATATTAAGTTGGGCAACACATTCTGCCTTGGCTTTTTGCAAGACTGGACACATGCTATATAAACATCAATAAAAACCTGACAATTTTATTTAAAAATTAAGCAGGTTAGATTTGCACAATTTCAGCTGCTTAAATCGGGGATAACAATTGAACAGAACCTGTGCAGAGTTGCCTACATTCAATATTATAACCTTCTGTCCTTAATAGCGGACTGTGTTCAGTCTTGCAAAAATCCATCTTCCTTCATCTCATTTGTAACACAAACTGTTTTAAGATCAAATTAATATACTTCTACAGGGGCATTTTATGCATTCCATTTAAGCCAGGCACAAGATCAAGAGTGTGCAATACAAAGGGGAAACTCCACAGCCATGACAAGAGACTGCTGCGATGACACTGGGGTTTGCACACAAGCCAAGTTTTCCCAACTGCTAAAGGACCAGTCAAGGTTAAGAAAGAAATGCTAACTCTATACTTTCAGATGAACTAAGATAAACAATCATATGCATCCAGTTGAGCTGAAATATCACCCAAAATGTTTAGAGTGGGATGATTTATCTCCATTTAAAATTAAGGTGCTTTTAGGCAGTGTAAGACGTACCATCTCTGTTATTCAGGTGCACTGTTAAGCAATTCAGGTAACATAAACAGTTGACATTAGTCCTATAACAATTTATCTTGACAAATGCTGCCACTGCACTGTCAGAGGTTGTATTACCACAGTTAATACTTCAAGCAAATGTAAACCTTTTCCACCTAGGGCTGTCTTAAATATTCCACTGTTTCCATTTTTGAGCTGTAAACAGCAAGGGGGGGAGGTCAGGAAGATTTCCTGACAAACCTTTTAACTGTGATAATATTCACCCTTTTTCAATATTGTTTTCTGCCATTGTTTTCCCTTTGTGACCAACCATATCTGTTCACATAACTGCGGGCAACCCAAGCCAACTGAGAGAAAGGGCGGTAAGGTAAGGTAGGTAAAAGTAAAGGACCCCTGGACAGTTAAGTCCAGCCAAAGGCAATTATGGGGTGCGGCATTCATCTCACTTCAGGCCGAGGGAGCCGGTGTTTGTCCACAGACAGCTTTCTGAGTCATGTGGCCAGCATGACTAAACCACTTCTGGCACAACAGACCACCATGACGCAAGCCAGAGTGCACAGAAACACTGTTTACCTTCCCGCTGCAGTGGTACCTATTTATCTACTTGCACTAGTGTGCTTTCTAACTGCCAGGTTGGCAGAAGCTAGAACAAAGCAACGGGAGTTCACCCCATCGCGTGGATCCGAACTGTCAACCTTCTGATCGGCAAGCCCAAGAGGCTCAGGTTTATACCACAGCGCCACCCATGTCCCTAGGAAAGGAGGCAGCACACCCATGTAGAAAAAGGCTACATGAAATGAAGAGATAAAAATTGGGTTGGCATTGCTGATAAAATAGTTGAAATAGCAGGGGGAACTTTTCAACACTACTGAAAACATTCCTGAAATACAGCAAGTAGTTTCATCCCAACCCATTTATTCCCCCCCCCCCAAACAAACTCTGCAAGTCCTAAGGGTGCAACTGCCTCTGTGCCTGGAAAAACAATCGCCCAGTAAGACTGCATTTAATACCTGGTGATGGTAGATGAGCCTTTGCTGTCTGAATGCCAAATCCTTTTAAAAAATGGGTAAAGTACATATTCCATTCTAAACTGTGCATTGAACATTGTATTAAGCACTTGTAAGGTATTACCACAAATCCAAAATATGTATGCAGTACATTTTAAAGGGGAAATGGTTATATTACAGCAGTACCTCCGGTTACTAACTTAATTCATTCCAGAGGTCTGTTCTTAACCCGAAACCGTTCTTAACCTGAGGCGTGATTTTGCTAAGGGGGCCTCCCGCTGCCGGCGCACAACTTCCGCTCGCACCCCAGGGCAAAGTTCACTACCAGGAGCATCTACTTCCAGGTTAGCTCATTACCCAAAGCGTTCGTAAGGAGAACAGTACATAACCTGAGATTCCATTGTACATTTTTGGGCCAGCAACTCATGCACATTGGCAAAGCATTAAAGGAATGGATAGAACTGAATAGGTCCCTAACAGTTTTCAACAGAGAAGAAGGAGGGAGAGGGAAGCTAAGTACTACCCATTCATGCATTTCAATATAATACTGCCTGGGCAAGAAGTATTTTAATTAGGTCAGTAAATGCAAAGACAACATGAGTACTTCAGTCAACATGAAAATTAATGAGCAGATTGAGGTTCTGATTTCCAGTGGTAGTGGCAAAAGTAGCCTTTAAGAAAACGAGAAGGGGAACTACTTAGGACAGAATCTATTTTTTAGCAGTTCTCCTAGCCAAGGTCCTGCACAGAAAAGAACAAAGCTATTTCCACAATGATCTTGCTTTCGATCGCACTAGGGATAGATTCTAGCACCCTCAACTGAGCTCATGTTGCAAACAGTCTTGTACGTTACTAATAGTTTAGAGGTGGTATGCAGATGAAACTAAAGACCTACTATAAGGTCTCCTATGTTATTTTCTTTGAGGGAGGGATCTCACATTTCTTTGCTGATCTCTCTGTAACAATCCAAAATGTTTCGTGCATAAAATAAACTAGTCCTTGAGCTGCTGGGCTGCTTGCAGAGCAAAGAAAATGAGAGACCCCAAGATTCTCTCCTCCCACTTAAAACTTTAGGTTTCATTATTTTATTTTCTCCTACTCAGTTCAAGGAGTTCTTTATCCATTTGTTTCATTAGGCGCAGAGCACCAGAGAGACTTTCATTCTAACAGTCGCCTTCAAAACTGTAGTTGCCACAACAACCAGATGCAGCTTAGCTGCATTGTTCTCATTTGTTAGTACCATGACACAATCGTTCCATCTTCCTACAATGAAGCAACTTTTCATTTCTACTTTTCAAGGATGTTACATTTCCCCACAAAGATACAGATGTGCCGTGAGTGTGCATGTGTCATACATGCAAAGTTGAAAACAAGATTCTTTTGGGAGAATTGTTATACTAGATTTGTTTTGAGATGTTGACAGCAATTGCTAGAGCCAGGCTGCTGAAACATCTAAAGCTTGGCCTTTAATAATCACCAAAGTAATATAGCGCCAGACCACATCTGAGCAGGGACTCCCAATAGTGTCAGATTGTGTCAAACTGCAGGATTGTTATGGGATGTGAGCAAATGTCCACACTTGTTTTACCCAATCAAATCTGAATTAGGCTCTAGATGCAAGCCTCCTGTGTATTAACCCACTGGCCTCCCTGTTATTACCACCACCACAGACCTTCACATTTGAAGGCTAATTTTAATTCAGCAATTTGAGTTGTTGCTGCAGATCTTGCTATACATTGCCCCACTCTCCCTTCTGATGATCCTTGTTTGAACTTTTACTCACGAGAAGTGCAAACAGGAGATGCACACAACATGCAGACATACAACACTCACAAATATATAGATGTAGTGAATATCTGATTACACATCACCATGAGGGCATTGAACTGTATGTGTACTTGACCAATGAAACAAACACAAGTTTTCTGGTGCAAACCCTCACAAGAGATGAGAAACAGTAACACAGTCCAACCTGCTTTAGCCATGCTTGGTATCCAGAAGATGAAAGTTGGAATCCATCTTTAGGCATGTGTATTCTGGGCTAGGAGAGAATAGACATAAGAGACCTCCTTTTACATTGAGACCTGGCTAGCCTACCCTTATTTCCAGGTGAACGTAAACACCAAACACACTCTCAGCCATACACATAAAGATGCATTCTTCAGGGGAATTGCAGGGAACCTGCTACTCTATATAGCATAAATAATAGAACCTTAGGAAAAGAAAGACGATAAAGAATGCCCAACTCACACAGGATTTTGCGTAGGTAAACATCTCTAGAACAATTAACCCATGTAATACAGCTATAGTGTGGCCCACCGACATCCAAGATCGTCCATTAAGCTTTTTTTGGGAGATTCTTCACGGCAGCCGCGGGAATATAAGTAGTGTGGGTTTTTTTAATTAAAAAACCCCTGTGCATTCACCATCCGTGTATAAGATGACCCCCATTTTTTGACAAAAAAATAAGCTAATTATTAAAGCAAAAATAAGCCACAAAAAAATTTGTCTCGTACATGGAAAAATACAGTAATTCACATACCATGGATGGGGATCATTGTATGCAAGCTACTTAAGGAGAATTTCTTAGGTGATGGCCGTATCCCTCCAATCTACTTTATACACGTACAACATCATCTTCAAGTTCACCCTGAGAAAATCTGATCTCTTCACAGCCTACTCCTGGAAAGGGTAAGGGGTTCAAGCAGCTATGTGCTTGTTCCTTACAGCCTTTTTCATTAAAGGATGCATATATGAGCCTATACAGCACCAAACCCCTTCATTTTCTTCTGACATGCCTGATCTAAAACTCTATGCAAACAGGATAACCACAATTAGAGCAGTTTTTTGATGTGGGAATTCTACTTGAAGAGCACAACAACTCACAGAGCATCACTTTAAAACAGTGATTGTTCAAAATGTGTTCTGAAGAACCCTGGGGGTTCCTTGGAAGCTTGTGAGAGAATTCTCAATGAGAAGACCAGAAAAGGCAGGCAAGCTTCCTTAACAGTTTCCCCCACCTATTATTAATTACAGTGGACGCTTGGGTTGTGAACATGATCTGTGCAGGATGCACATTTGCAACCTGCAGTGGCACTTCTGCGCATGCGCGACTGCCGAAATCCGGAAGTAACCCGTTCTGGTACTTCATGGTTTCGGCGGTCCATAACCCGAAAAAACGCAACCTGAAGCGTCTGTAACCTGACTGTATTACTATTATTATTATTAAATTTATATCCTATGCTCATTCTGAAGGAGTCCAGGGCAGCACCTTCTTCTAAAATGCACAGCCAATAGTTATATGCATTCCAAGATGCACTATAAGTTCAGGCAGGGCAATAGTAAGGCTTAGCAGGTTTATCCAAAGCTCCATAGGTATTGATTGTAAATTCTAGAATACATTCCAGATGTTCCACAACATACAGAGAATGAGCAGGCATTAAAACGGCAAACACAGTTCAGTGTAAGCAAGTGTAAAATAATGTATAGTGGGACAAAAAACCCCTAACTTCACATATACACTTGGGACAGAATCGGCCCTGGTCACTCAAATGGATGATCTTCTTTCTGAGAGGGACTGAGGAAGTTTACCTTTGTTGCTCTTAACAGAATATCAAAGGGTGGTGACCAAAATAAGGGCATTTTCTGCTGCTGCCCCTGTTCTGTGGGTTGCCCTTCCCTCTACCACATGTGAAGCAGCAACCTCAGTTGCTTCACACATCTCTCAGGCTTTCCCTGACCCATGAGGTTTATGTATGCAAATCCCCTGAATCTCTGTATTACTTACTTTTTATATTGTTTCGTTGTTTTTAGTTTGTGTTTTTGGTTTAATGAATATTGTTTTTATATTGCACATAGTGTACAGCACTTAAGAGATTTTGAAAATATTAAGCTGTTCAGAAAAGCTTCTAAATAAACAAATGCACTAATGTGGTCTGAACTGCCAGCAACAGACCAGGAAAGAGAGCGTCGGGACTTAGCAGATAACTTGATGAACATGTCGACCCAGCAGCTGTGGAAAAAAGGTGCATTCCGCGTTAGGGATCATTGGAAAAGGGACTGAAAATGAAACGGCCAACAACAAAATGCTGTTATACCAATCTATGGTGCAACCACATTTGGAACACTGTGTATAGTTCTGGTCACCACACATCAAAAAGGATGTTGCAGACTTGGAAAAGAGGTTTTAAAAGGGCAGCCTAAAATATCCAGGGGCCATAGCAACTCCCTTGTGAAGAAAAGTTATGATATTTGGAGCTCTTTAAAAAAAATGCATGATAGAGATATATAAAATTATGCACGGTGGGTAGAAAGTGGATAGGCACCTCTCATAATAGCAGAACCAAGAGTCAACTAATGAAGCTAAACAGTTTAAAAAAGGATCAGTATTGTGGCTGATGCTGTCCATATGTGACTGGTACAGACTTGCATTCTCACAACAGAATTTCACCTTCTCCACCCTCAGCAAACCCTCAAAATCTGTTATGGAGGGTTGAGATCCCCTCTGGAGCAGCTTTCAGGAGCATATGGAGGGCTGCAGGAGGAAGGAGAGGAAGGAGAAATCCCACTGCATGCGTGGAAGTACTTCTTCATACAGTTCACAGTTATGGAATTTGCTACAAGATGCAACCATTCTATACAAGTTTTACAAGCATGATCCCATGGGAACCCTCCCCACCCCATCATGCAGTGTATTACCCAGCCTAACACCTGCCAAATTCCAATTCTGTAATGTGCTGCAGCAACCCAAACATTGTATTTAATATGTAGCCTACTTCTAGGGCTGCCTTCTCAACAGTCTCCCTCCCACGATGTACTAAAGTCATTAGCTCGTTCTGATTTCAAACTGGCCATCTTTTCCCTGCAATCTTTAACTGACTTTTTGTTTTATTACCTTCCTTTACCCCTTCTTCCATTTTTAACTTAATGGATCTAGCAGTCTCTAGTGAGGTCTGAAAAGGCTGTTTTCTCAGAATGAGTCAATATTTTAAATTCTATGGAATGCATTTGTTTTCCCCCTAAAAAATAAATATAAAAATGCAGCCTTTAAAAGACAGACATTAAATTACAGACCTCAGTTCCTATTTTCTAAGCCTAATACAACCCCTGAAGGCTTACAATATTTGAATCACAGCTGGAGCCATGGTTACCATACAGTTTAAATATCAGCTTCTTTACTGTGCAATTTGTTTTAAAAATCAAATCAGAGGCTGTGTCATAAACAAGTGCTAATTAAGTAGCAAGCAAGAAGAGGGCTTTCTGTGCAAGAAAGGTTCTTAAATATCTGCCTCTCCAATCTTGCAAGAAAGGATAAATAAAGCCAGCTGGGAAAATTATGGGCCAAAACTGGCATGAGACATACACACACAAACAAAACTGTGGCTGGCACTAACCCTCCAGTGTTATTCCTTTCAGATGAGAGTCAGGAGGCTACAGATTATGATAAGCTTCTTGCTTTTAGGTGAACAATGCCAAGTTAGCATGGCAATGTGAGTTTGATCACATAATTCTGTGAAGGCATAAGCATATTCCTACGCAGCCTCTATGCTTCAAGCCACTCAATTCTGAAACAATAGAAATCAAAACTGCAGCTCCCTTTTGGCACCACAGAACTACTGCTGGGATGGCAGAATATTTATTATTTTTATGTAGTCCTTTGGACAGATGCATTTTGTTAACAACAAGAACCCTGTAATTTATTGCAATCCCCTATTTGGCAAAATTCATTTATTCTTAGCTAAATGCTTAGCTAAGAATAAATGAATTTTTAATACAGTTTTTAGAAACACTTGTCACTGCTTCAGCATTTCCATTTAGTGAATAGGACTGATGTTGCTCTCAGCAGGGGGTGATATTTTAATGATGCAATGCTGCACTTCCTAGAAGACAGACAAGCCTCATGAGGCAGATTATAGGACTAAAGAAACTCAGATCCCATTAAAAGCAGACAGCTCCAGACCATTTTTAAAATTAATTTTGTTTAATGATAAAATGTGCTATAACAGGTGGGTAGCCAATTGTAAAATTAACCAAAACATAGTTAAAGGAACAGAAGAATGTTAGAAAAGCAAATACGATAAGGCTCCCACTACCAATTTACCAGATGCATCTGTGGAAATACTGGCACCTATCAATACTTCATTTTCGCTGTCTACAAAGCAGGTGCAGTGCCTACATTCCTTTAAGCTTACATCAAGTCAGACCATTAGTCCATCTAACTCAGTATTGTCTACACTGACTGGCAGCAGCTCTCCAGAGTTTCAGACAGAAATCTCCCCCAGCCCTATCTGGAAATGCTGACGATTGAACCTAGGACCTTTTACCACTGCACCACAATCCTTCCTTGCTTTATCAAAGCCTGAAATGTTCAGAAACATTCACAGCAAGAAATATATTTGAATGAGTTGCCTTCAACAAAAGCTTGTTGCAAAGAGGCTTTTGCTTTTAGTTATCCATGGCTTCCCATTTCATCCAAACTGGGAGTCATGATTTAATATTAACTACGGCTGTTTCAAAACAAGCCACAGTTGGTGATGATGACCACAGTTCCCAGCCCAGACAAAATGGCAAATTACAGTAAACTAGAAATTGAAGCAAAAGCTTCTGAACTCCTCCTCTTGAACATGTATGAAGATGAAAGGGGAGCAGGTGAATGTGTGATCCTGGAGGCAGTTAGGCTCATTCATCATAGTGCTAAACCATGGTTTAGCATTACATCTGAATCTTGCACTGTGTCTTTCTCATCTCTATTTTCCCGTAACTCCTATCTAGTCAAAAACTTAGCAGCTAGTATTGTTTTGATTTACTCCACTAACAAGAACTATAATTTAGCACTAACTACTCATGAGGAATTATAGTTCTGCTGGTTGGTGAGCAATTTGCCAAGGAAGACCAGTTTAGCCACTTAAAATAAATATCCACCTGCATATACTAGCACTAATCAGGGCGTGAAATTAAACTTTTTATTCAGTAGAAAATAACTGCTGCAAGGCGGCGATTTAGTGGAAAGCAAATATTAAGGTCAACCTATTCTTCCCAGTG